AAGAATGATGACAATTTAAGGAATTTGAAAATTTGAAGGAGCTGAATTTGTCACTGAAATGAAAATGTTGAGTGAAAATCATAGGAAATTGTGTGAGAATGTCATCTCAGAAAGAGAATGTTGAGTGAAAATGAAATTGTGTGAGAATATCATCTGAGAAATAAGATGTTATATACCAATTTGTAAACAAATTATATTTTTTTTAATCTAGTGTTGTTATCACTTGTCAAATACAATTGAGTGCAAATTAGATTTGTATCAGTATAACCAGCCTAAACCAACTTTCAATTACTATATAAATAGTGCGTCTTCCTTTGTTGATGATATATTATACTATATAAATAGTGTGTTAATGATATATAATATGATTTGTGGAATTAAATACTGCTTGAATTATATAAATAGTGCATCTTCTTTTGTTGATATATGATATAATTGTTGATATATGATATAATATGTGGAATTAGAATTTAGAGAGAAAAATGGAGGACAAATGAAAGAATTTGATATATTCCTTTCTCAAATAGGACTACAACATGAGATTTGGATTCATTGCAAGAGCAATGCTGCCGTATTAAAATTATATTGTTAAAATTATATTCTTAGACTACAAATTAAAATTATATTGTTAAAATTATGGTATTAAAATTATATTGTTAAAATTATATTCTTAGACTACAAATTAAAATTATATTGTTAAAATTATATTCTTAGACTACAACATGGGATTTGGATTTATGGACTATATAGTGTTCATTGCAAGAGCAATGCTGCAAAAAGGTATTAAAATTATATTGTTAAAATTATATTCTTAGAGTATTTTAAAATAACAAAGGTATTAAAATTATATTGTTAAAATTATATTCTTAGAGTATTTTAAAATAACAACTAAATTGTTTATTTTTTTTCTTTTTGTTAAAATAACAATATATTATTTGAATAATTAAATATATTGGTGAGTCTAATATTGATAAAATTATTTCAACAACACTAGTGAAAGGTGATACGTAAATAAGTAAACATCTGACTGGTGATTCGTTCGCGTAATGATAAGGAGGGCAAGATTTTTTTTCATCACTGCCCACACTCCACTTACTAGAAATACACATAATTTTAGAATTAACTCTGATCAAGTTCCTATATAATCTAAATATTACATAATTTCTAGAAAATTTTAAGATTTTTCATTCATTTATTTAAATTTTAGAATTAACTTTAATTTATTTTTCTATATAATCTAATTACTGTTATTGTAATTTTAGATTTAATTCTCATTGATTTAACCTCTAGTCTGCATATTTAGTGAGTAAATTATTTCCCAAATGCACAAATTTAGAAAGAAAAACTTGAATTTGATTTTATTATAAAGGAATAAGCCTCAAACATGCACATCCATTTACCCTAAAAAAAAGGTGTACTACTCATTGTTCCTAGCTCAAATGAGTCAAATCTCGTCTAATTTGTTTTTTAAAAGCAATAAGAGTAACTTAATTACCTTGACTAATGGCCGTAGGAAAAAAGGATGTCAGGATGCCGAACCTAAAGAAACTAAAACCATGAGAGAACAAGTCCTTGACAAAATTCATAAGTAACTAATCACACTATGAGAGTCTCGGAGCATCTCCAATACTCTAATGTTGTTATATAATAAATTTTGACAAATATCAATAAATTGAATGGATTGTGAACCGTGTAAAAAAAATGTTAAACTTACAACTATGAAATTAAAAATTGCCTCCAATGCACAATGTAGTCTAACTACAGTATTACCTTCTTATCAAATATTAAAATTTTATAATATGTAGTAAAAAAATAAATTAAATAATCAAATAGTTTAAAATTGATAAGAATGATTCTCTCTCTTCTCTTCAGTTTGTGTTTTATGTTTTGGACCTTCTTGTTTAAGTAATAATAGGTTAGCCATGTTGGCTTTAGAGGGAAACAAGTGATTGTTGTTCTCGTGGACTTGTAATTAGTTGATTACCCGTTTGTACATATTTGAATTTATTAGTAATATGTTTTCTTGAAAAAAAAAAGTGTGGAGGAGAATATGGATGAACTACATTCATTTTTACGTTGTAGGCATTAATTATGTCCACATCACCACAACATTTATGATCACATTATGTATTGGATGATGAAAAATTATGACATTGTTAAATTTGTTGATGTAGAATGTAATTTATCACAACAACATTTGAGCATTGGAGCTAGGAAAAGATGGGGTCCAAATTAGACGAGGAAAAGATGGGGTCATTATTTCTTTAGAAATGTGCACGTTCTTCATTCAAATTCTTCATTCATTAACTTACAAATACCAAACTTGTCTTCAATCCATTTTACAATTCAATGAAACCTACATATGAAAATACCAACCATACACATGATACATATATCTCAATAGCCACACTCCTCAAAACAAGATCAAAATCACAAACTTTTCAAAACCCAATAAATGAAAAAGAAGAAGAAGAATAAAAAAAAGAGCACCAGTGGGAAAACCACCCTGCAGCACTCCGTGGTTTGCGGAACATCTGCGATCAACGGGGATGTGAATCACAGTTGTACGGCGAGCACAATCACGGAGGCTGCCGTGTTACCTGATGTCGAGAGCG